GGACTGTGTTTTGATGTAAACAGTCTGGCCTTGATTTAGCAATAAACAACACCTGGGAATTAGTCTTTGTATATAGTCTGTGGGGACAGCTTGGTCTGTTTTGGACTAGTTCTAAGGTCTTTGCAAAATGTGTAAAAGCCTGTCTTTGAGACTGAGAATACTGTTATTTTCCTATGTCAGTAAAGAATATTCTGGTAATACTTCTGTTCACCAGAATTATACAGCTTAAACAAAAATCCACAACTAAACGTGTGTCCAGAGATGTAAAACACACTGCCAAAGGGCTGTGCAAAGCACCCCACAGCTGTTCTTATGAGGAGGCATAACAGTGACACCCAAGAAATTTACAGACAGAAAACAACCAGTGACCCCACAGCTTTACCAGGTGGGGCTCCCCATCAGGGAGTTATACATCTGGTGGGTCGACTTGTCAGACACTAGTTGTCACCTGCTGTATACTCCCACAGCCCTCAGCAGGGTCCTGAGCTGATACTTGTCCTTTCAATGTCCATAGTAGCTGTTCTAAAACTAGAGCTGGAGGGGAGGGTGAGAGTCCAGGGACTTGGGATGGCAGTTACACCAGCTTTTGTTGGAGGCCCTGAAGCCTGCATCCTTGTGTATGAGTACCTTCTGTCAGCAGACTCCCCAAGAAGAGAGTAGGGAAATGGCCAGTCCTCTGAGACTGGGGGGGGGGGGGGCGGGGAAGACACCCTATCTGTCACATGTGTGCGATTGAGGCAGGATAGAAAAAAGATAGGGAAAGGTGTTTTTTTTTTTTTGTTTTTTTGAGACAGGGTTTCTCTGTGTAGTTTTAGTGTCTTGGATCTCAATCTGTAGACCAGGCTGGCCTCGAACACACAGAGATCTACCTGGCTCTGCCTCCTGAGTGCTGGGATTAAAGGCATGTGCCACCAGCACCCAGCAAGACAGGGAAAATTAAAGGGACATTGGAAGGAAAAGGAGTCCCTCAGGCTGGAATCTGACAAAAGCTGACAGTCAAGAATTACCGAATAATTGTTTGCTATGAGAGTGGCCACTTACATAAGAGACAATATTACTTTTTAAAAAATATTCAGGCTGGAGAGATGGCTCAGTGGTTAAGAGCACTGGCTGCTCTCTTCTAGAGGTCCTGAGTTCAATTCCCAACAACCTCATGGTGGCTCACAACCATCTATAGTGGGATCTGATGCCCTCTTCTGGCATAAAGGCGTACATGCAGATAGAACTCTCATATATATAAAATAAATAGCAAATCCTTAAAAGAAAAAAAATATTTATTCATGTATTTTATGTATATGAGTGCTCTGTCTTCATGCACACCAGAAGAAGGGATCTGATCCCATTACAGATGGCTGTGAGCCACCACGTGGTTGCTGGGAATTGAACTCAGGACCTCTGGAAGAACAGCCAGTGCTGTTAACCCCTGAGCCATCTCTCCAGCCCCAAAGATATTACTTTTATATAGAGATGTTTCAAACAAGTGTGTTAAATTGGGGCAACTTCGTGAATCACTGATGTAGAGGCCTTCCTCATCACCCTTCCCATAAAGGCACTATCTTTTTAAGCATCTCATAGGAAACCTCATCCACGGTAAAAGACATGTCTTAACCCCCATGAGCAACCCTTGTGACCCATGGTGTTTTTGTTTTGTTTTTCGATAGTTTCGAGTAACCCTGACTGGCTTCACAATCACTACACAGCTGAGGATGACTTTAATTTCCTGATCATGGGCCTCCACATGGCCCATACAGTTCTATCTTATTGACTGTAGTCCTATCCAAGGAACCTGGAGAGCTATCCTATAGTCTCAATTGGGAAAAGGAGGAGAGAGAGAAAAGGAGTTTCCTAGCAACCGTTTGGAATGTAGCTTGAGAGCCGCTGAAATTTATATACGACTACAGCCACGATGTGGAAGCACAACTCTTTTGAGAAGCCTGCATCTATGCTTGGGCAAGTCTTGTCCTTCTCCTGAGCATCTTTCCATCAACTCCCGTTCTGAAGCTGCACCTCCGGTGTTAAAGAGACTACAGGGCTGACTGATTAGCATGTCTACAACTGTGGAGATCTGGGGTATTGCAGATCTGCAGCCAAGTTATCTTGGGCTGTCTTTAGCCCATCTCTGCGTTTGACCTAACAATATTGTACGATGGTAGATAAATCCCCTTTTGTGGGGTAACAGCCTCAGGTTATGAGGAACTGAGTCAGGCAGTACTAAGCAGTAGCCACTAGCCATAAAGAATAGCTTAGCACTGGCCTGATGGATCTGCTCCACCCATGAAAACAATATGCCTGGGTATGGAAAACAAGCCACCCTGCTTCCAGTCAAGCTCCAAGAAATAGCTGTAAGTACCTGGAAGCTACCCACAGATGTATATATACTTGTCCCCGGCCCCTCTAAGTGTGCTCAACCTTCATTCTACAGAAAGACTAAGCCCTCGATGTTCCCATACAGCAGTCTCAGCCTGTTGAGAACCAGTCTGTCTGCTTCTCCGCCTCCTTTTTCTTACATCTGGTACTGAGACCCGGGACCCTTTTAGGGTCCTCTGAGAGCCCTCCTTTCCCTCCCTGGGGTTATTCTTACAGCAACATGGACCCCTATATAAGGCTCACTATATAAGACTCACTATATAAGGCTCACTATGTAGGCTGAACGGCCACCAGTTCAACCTGACCCCTCTGGTCTTTTGGGACCTCTGCCTCCATCAGCAGTGAACTCAGTTAATGCTTGCTGGCTTTCAGCCATCCTGGTAAGAGCGAAAATATTTTAAAAAGAGACACTTATATCCCTGTTATAGGCCTGGATCAGGATCTGGAGGGTATCCACCAGGATTTCCATGTCTCTTCCATGAGAGTGGGTGAATGACCACACACACTTTTGTGTGACATGTCCTGATCCATCCTTGGCCTTGTTGGGCCAGTCCATCAGCAGGGGGTCTGCTGGTGGGAGACAAAAGCCTACAAGGCCTTTGTTTAGAGCTGCCAGGCTTTTGTCTCAAGTCGGGAGGGTGAGGAAGAAGCCGGCCATCATGGAAGTTCACCAGCTTTATTACCTGGCCACAGCCCCTCTCTCCCTACCTGTGTACCTACCAAGGAGTCTAGCTAATCTCTGGTTTTTCTCTGTGTGTCTGCTGCACGTGTGTCTCCTCACCTCTAATAAACACCGTTGTTCAACTGTTGATTCTGTCTGCAGTGTTGGATTTCTCCGCTGCCACCTCTCACATTCCAGATCTTTCCTGCCTTTTGTTTCTTTAGCTGGCAGAGAAAACAAGCCCAATTAAGACCCCTAGACTGGATCACCAGGACCGCCTGCCCAGGGATCCTTATAGAGGAATTTTCTCAATTAAAATTCTTTCTCCCCAGATATGTCTGTAGCTTGTGTCAAGCTGACAGAAAACCAGCCATCACAAGGTCTTCACATAGGCTGTTCCTCCTCTTACCTATCCTACCCAGAGGCCTACACTTTCCTGGAAAGTCTGGATCCAGCAACCAGGCCCAGAGGGGTCCGGCCACGTAGCTGGCCCTGAAGTCTAGGCCTTAGCCAGCCTACTTGGACTGTATGCTGCCTTTTCACTCTGGTCCTGAGCACAGCTGTTGTGCAGTTTCAGAATTTGGTGCTAAAAATACTCCATGGCCTAGAAGGGCCAACAAAGTATCTAGCCACTTGTGGGTGGGGTTATTTAGAGCTGTGATGGAGACTCACTTACAGTGTTGTAAGGGGTAGATCCTGTACACTCAAACCCTCAGAAAAGGTGGCCCTCTGATGGACAGGAGGGACCTCTGGGAGTGGGGACATTCCCATCACCTCCTGTTTCTTCACAGGACCTCCAGGGTACGTGGCTGTGTGGTACACATCTATTATTTCAGCTATTGGGGAGGCAGGGATTTAGTTTGAACCCAGGAATTTGAGGGTAGCTCAGGCCAACAGTGCCCAGCACTGCTTGTGTCTCTAGCTCTCTAGAACTTGGAGTTTCCAGAGCTTTTCCTCACCAATAGCTCTCTGGGTAGAGAGTTGCTGAATGGGCCAGAGGTGTCTGCTTTGAGCAGTCCAAGGAAGCAGGTCTGGAACCTACCTCTGCCTCCCGAGTGCTGGAATTAAAGGCCTGTGATACTATGCCCCGCAAAAGTATTTCTTTAAGTTCTTCTGGGTAGACTTGCTAAAGGTTATATAGTAATTCTATGTTTCATTTAAATAAAATGAAATAATTATTATTTTGGCTTTCCAAGATAGGATTTTGTTATGTAGCTCAGGTGTCATGATCTAGAACTCACTATTATGCCTCCAATTTTTTGGTACTGGGGTTTTAGGCCTATGTGATAATTTTATATTCATTTTTTTAGATATAGGGTTTCACTATGTAACCCTGGCTGGCCTAGAACTCTGTGTTGAAAGACTGGACTCGAACACACAGAGATCTGCCTGCCTCTGCCTTTGGAGTGCTGGGAATGAAGGCATGCACCACCGCAGCCAGTGATAGTTTTACTTTAAATATTTGAGTACTAGCTTTACTGTTTCCCATAGCGGCTATGGGAATACAAATCCCCACAAACCCACAGGAAGATCTTTTCATACCGTGACAGCACTTGTTACTGTTTTGTTTGTATAACTTTCTACTGAGCACAGGGATCTTTTAGAAGTGACAATTAAATGTCCCCTTCTTATAAAGGCTTCCCAGGTCACCTTACTTACTGTGGAGGTCCATCTCTGGTATTATTTTTCCATCAAGGCCCTGTCTAGACAGCGTTAGGTCGCTGTAGTATTGAACTGACTGGACCATAATGGACAGTGTCTTTGTTGGCGACAGGATCTCCAGCGTTTATCAGAATACCCAACACACAGTAGGTCCTCAATAAATGGTTGATTAGTGGCGTTTTTCTCTTCTACCAAATTTTCAAGTGCCTCCCCAATCTGCCCTTTTGCTCCAGCCTGGCTCAGTCCTTTGGCTGAGTCCTCCCCACAGCGCACACCCAGGAAGATCAGGACAGGAGCCCGCAAATGTTACCTGGACTTGACTTTTTAGGGACTTGTGGGTGAAGCGGGCCTGGGTTCTCAGAAGCTAAAAGGGACGTTACCAGCCGGCGGGAGAGCGGCCTGAGGCTGGCCCAGCATCTCGGCCGCCCCTGCATCTCGGCCGCCCCTTGTCGGTCTCTTTGCGCTTCTTTTCATAGCCCCGCCCCCTTTCATAGCCACGCGACCTCGTGGGTCCTTGCTATTGGTCCCTCTCGAGATGCTGTCAAGCGACCATTTCTGATTGGCCACAACCCCCCCCCACGCCTCCATAGCAGCCACAACAACCGCCACGTGCTCTACCGTGGGACTTCCTCATTGGCCAGCCTCCTCGATACACCTGACTTCCCGCTCCCTCTTCCCATTGGCTTTTCAGTCCCAGGCTCGGCTCTTCCGACGCTGATTGGTCACTAGGGAATGAGGCGGGGCTTGGGGCGGGTTAAGAGCGCGGCCTTGCCGGCGCGCGCGCGCCTAGGGTTTTCGATGGCAGGGCAGGGGCTGGCGGCGGGCTTCCTGCAGGTGCCCGCGGTGACGCGGGCCTACACCGCGGCCTGCGTCCTTACCACCGCCGCAGTGGTGAGCGGGCCGGCCGGGCGGGCGTGGTGGCGCCATGGTTACTGTCCCTGGCCGGCCAGAGGGGGTTAGGGAGGTCGCTGGGTTCCGGCGTCTTACACGCTCCCCGTCCCACAGCAGCTGGAACTCCTCAGCCCCTTCCAGCTCTACTTCAACCCGCACCTGGTGTTCCGGAAGTTCCAGGTGAGGTGGCCCCGACTCTGACACCTGTCAGCCAGGCCCTCGCCCTCCAGCCCCGCGCCTCACCGCCACCCCCACCTCTTTGCAGGTCTGGAGGCTCATCACTACCTTCCTCTTCTTCGGGCCCCTGGGATTCGGCTTCTTCTTCAATATGCTCTTCGTGTATCCTGGGCCACGGGAGTGGGTGGTGAGGTCGGATTGGGGGTGTGCTGGGCTAGGAGCGGGGAAACTGAGGCCCAGTCCGCGTGGCACTTCCTATACCAGTGTTGCAGGTTCCGCTACTGCCGTATGCTGGAGGAGGGTTCTTTCCGTGGTCGAAAGGCCGACTTCGTCTTCATGTTTCTCTTCGGGGGTGTTCTTATGACTGTATCCTTCCTGTAGGCTCACTATTATTGGGCCAAGGGACACCTCTGTCTATGTCGTGGCCCTGGGGTTCGACATGAAGTGCCCAGGCCGGAAGAGACAAACATTCAGGGCCTAGCAGCCATGTAGTCTAGATGCCCCAGCTAGATCAGTGTCTCTGCAGAGCACAACAGGGAGGAAACAGGATAGGCTGGTAGAATACTGAGGCTCTGAAACATGAATGTAAGAGCCAGAGAAAGGAGCAGTCATGGATGGAGCCTGGGTACCTGGACGCCACAGAGAGGGGGCTCTGCTTGATATGGAATAGACCAGGGATATGAGGAAACCTGTTGAAAGAGCCAGGGAGGCACTGTGGGCAGCAGACTGCTCCAGGGCACCTTGACTCTGGCCCAGCTGCTGGGATTCCTGGGCAGCCTCTTTTTCCTGGGACAGGCCCTCATGGCCATGCTGGTCTATGTATGGAGCCGTCGCAGCCCTCAGGTGAGGGTCAACTTCTTTGGATTACTCAACTTCCAGGCACCATTCCTGCCCTGGGCCCTCATGGGCTTCTCGATGCTGCTGGGCAACTCCGTCCTCACAGACCTGCTAGGTGAGCCTGCCCACCCTTCCCACTCACCTCAGGCCAGCTGCTCCCATCAGGGTATGCAGCTCACACACATATCCCTTCCCCCTGCACCAGACCTTTCTCCCGTGCACCTCCCAAATTCCTCTTCCTGTCCTAACTGTCATGTTCTTAATGCCCCTCAAGCAGTCCAGCTGGCCCACAGGATTTGCATCTGTGGTTGACCTGAAGACACCAGAGTTGGTCCTGCATGGGGGTGGTTACAGTTTCTGCTTCCTGGCTCCTACTCCCCCAGTTTTCTCAGGTCCCTAGTCCTTCCCCCTCCCCAGGTACTGTCCACTTTTGGGCCCCTTTATGCCTTTCAAAGCCAGTTCTGATCTTACCCTGATGGCAGATAACAGGGTGCTTGTGCTCTGGAACCTGGGGCTATACTGGGCTGTGAAAGATGGCCTCTGCCAGCCTTCGGCTCTCTTGCAGGCATTGTTGTGGGCCACATCTACTACTTCCTGGAAGATGTCTTTCCCAACCAGCCTGGAGGCAAGAGGCTGCTGCTGACCCCCAGCTTTCTGTGAGTGTGGGACAACTGTTTTCCCTCCTTTGGGGGCAATCTACCTGCTCCATGGGGAAACTTGTGTTTACCGCAGCTCAGTAGAGTTTTCCCCTCCCCACAGGAAGCTACTACTCGATGACCCTCAGGAGGACCCCAATTACCTGCCCCTTCCAGAAGAACAACCAGAGCCCTGAGTGCAGCCCCTGGAGCAGTAAGCCCACTTGGTCAGCCTGAGGCTCCTGGCAGAGTTCTACCTTCTCTTATGCCAAGCAACCCATCCAGAAGGCTAGGCCCACCTTGGTGCCTCAGCCAGCAACACCCTACATCCCCTGTACCATCTCTGCTCAACTGTAGGTGGTAGGACATGAGGCCCAGAGAGGGTGAAGACTGCCAACGGATGCCTAGCAGAGCTCTGAACTCAACTAATACAGACCTCCAGTTCTCATCTTCATGCTGCCAGTGCCTTGCTGGAGCACTGGCAACAAGTCCTCACCACCCAGGATCATGCCCAGTCTACAGGTGTCCTGCCTGGGGTGCCTGTGGGCTGATGCCCACCCTCCTAACCTCTCTGTCCTCTTTTAAGGCAAGCAAGTGTTCACGTTCATCTCCGGCTGGTGACCCAAAAGTCCCATGGGCTCAGGTGCAGAGAACAAGTTTGGTCCTCTGCCACTCTAGTGAGCCCAGGACCTTGAGCTCTATCTTAGCAGAACCCTGTGTGTAGCAGAGGTAGTTCTAGGACATTCCGTTTGCTGAAGGCCTGTGAGTCCTTCCTACCCGCACCTCCTCTGAACTGAGGATGCCAATGTGGCCAGTTTTCCTTGTTGCTGTACATGTGCTCCCCTGGGGCTTACTCCTGGATGCCCAACAGCATGGGATTCCCCCAACCACTGCTTATTATTTCTATGGCAACAAAAATGTTTTCTACTGAGTCTGACTCAATTTCATAGTGAAACCTGGTGGGGCCGAAGCTGTGTTGCTGTGTGGAAGTGCTCAAAGCAGGCAGACTCTAGGGGTGTACGGGGAGAGGGGTAGAACACTCCCCAGGAGGACCCCCTGAGAGAGGGTAGCAGTAGACTGTAGCTGTGGTACTGGGATCACTGTCTTCAATTACAAACCCGCACGCCCAGTTTGCTAAGTGCAGACCCATCTGTCACCTTAATGGATGCTGTGTCTATTCTATACCACACCACAAACCAAGGACAAGGGGAATGAGGAGCTTACCTCATTACCACACAGCTTGGGGTGGGGGTAGAGGGCTGTACCTCTTCTCCACATACTGCCAACTTAAAGGATGGCACACGGCTGGTGTTCTATTTCCCTAACCTCACAACAGGCCGGGGAAGAAGCTGGTCCTGGCCACAGTGGAGATGGGTTTAGTTAACCTTTTTTGGGTTGCTAGAACAAAAGACTTCCTGTTTGTGTACTAGTGATGTCATGTCCAGGTGCTGCCCGCACATGACCAAGTCCTCTAGAAAGGACTCTAGAGCAATATGGTCCCCCCAGCTGGCAGCAGCCCGTCTGGATGCACAGGATCAAGGCCAGCAAATGAGCCTCAACCTCTACAGAGACTTGCTGCGCACAGAGCTGCACAGGGAAGCTGGAAGGCACAAGAACCAACAATGACTTGGCTCTGCTTTGGGACCTTGGGGCTGGCTGTGGAGACCCAGTGATCTCCATTTACTCACTTGAGAATTTGAGGGCAAGAAGGGCAGGGTTGGCACATCAACCTTGACTAAACCCTCTTCCATCCACACAGGCTCTAGCTCACATTTTATGCTCTCAACACCAAAGAAGCTCAACTGGTTACTTTTATTTAAAAAGTGTTGCTAGCTCTGTCTAGGGCTCCTATACAAAAACAAAACCAACCCAAATGAGGCTGCTTCCTGACGTTAGACTTTGGGGGACAGTGCTGGAGCTTAGCAAATGGAATGTGTGCTGAAGGAAGGCACCCGGGAGACCCTACCCCATTCCTCAGGATGGCACCAGCTGTCCCTTTGCCTCTCTCTTTACCACAGAGGAAGGAAAGGCAGTCTTTTGAGATGCTCCGTGGAAGTTGAGCATGGATGGCTTCATCACCAGGCTGGGGCAGTGTTGGCGAGACGCCTCATTCGCCTGAAGTAGGAGAACAGGTGGTCAGCTGGGGCCAGTCACAGCTCTGGGTGGCCACCCTCCTAGGTACGTTATTTTTTCTAGAGTAGGTGGTGTGGGGCCCATCTAGAAGGAACAGTCTCCAGCCTTTTTCTTGACCTTGCCAGTCCGCTGCACTGGCCCTGTTAATCTCTATAAAAACCCTGAGACCTGCTAGGGGATGTTGTTCTCGTCAAGGAAATGGACCCTGGGGCCTGATACCCACAGAAACTTCCCCTTAAACCTAGGTTCCTAGGGAGAAGATGCCCCCGCCTCTGCCAGGGGAGATAGGTGCCTGGGGTACCTTGTGTTCCGGTCTTGGTCCCGGATCTTCTTCTCCATCTCGGCATCGGTCAGGGTCTCCAGCAGGGGGCACCACTGATCAGCGTCTCCGGTATTTCGGATGGCAATCTCAACTGTGGGAAGTGGGTTCTCACTGAGGGAAGGGAAACAGGGAGAGGAACCAGGACTAGTTAACAGAATGGCAGCTCGGAAGTCCCCCCGAAACCACTGCTTTCTACTCTGCTATTCCTTAGCAGATGGCCAGAGCACAGCAGGAAGGCCCACTTCCTTGTCCCAGCCCCTCCCAGCAGCAATGCCGATGGGCAGCTGCGGAATGACTTCTGTCACTGAACCTCATGCAGGGTGCCAGAACCTGTCTAGCAGAAACAGTACGACCTACACCCTAGGCAGTCTCCCTTCAAGGCCAATTCTCCTCCATAAGAAGAACTGAGGGAGCTGCTGGCTATGGAGGTAGTTTCTTTGGACAGAATAGTGTCTCAGGTACAGCTGACTGATAGAGACTGTAGCCAGGCCTGTCTACCTTACACTGTCCAGCGTCAGTACCCACCAAGACCCACTGATCAGGGAAACACCACAAACACCAAAGGGATGGGGGTGGAATTGTAAAAGGATTTCTCCAGAGGCCTCAAGCTCCTCACAGAAGGCCACTGGGTGGGCCTGCTCTGAACTGTTCTATATACACCTATCCCTTGGCTCACTTCTCACACTAAGCCCTGGAGAAGCCAGCCTATTTGCTTTGAGACAGACAGCTGGTTGGCAGAGACCTGGGCCTAGAAATGATATCTCAAGGCTTAGAGTCCTTCAGAGAGCACCTAACTGCACCCTAGAGTGTGTGGGAATCATCTGTTCAAGCCTCTTGCCAAGTGGACACAATGGTGTGAAGAAAATGGGAGGAAGGCTACAAGGGTACACGTACTGGGGTGTGTGTCTGCGCCGCTCTGCACCTTGGTTTCCAAGTTGTAAGAGGCAGCTAAGGAGGTACCCAATGTGTCACAGCAAACCCTAGCCTAGCAGGAAGCCCCACAGCAAGGCTCTAACCGGTCCTCTCCCTCCACTGTCACACTGCCCTTCCAGCTAGGTGGCCTCCCTGTCACTTGAGGAGATGGCCTCCCTACTCTACCTACAATCTTAATCAGGTGTGTGCCCACCTGCTGTCCTGCAGTACCTTGTCAGCTCTGGAAAGGAGGAGACAGAGCCCAAGTGATACTTGGCAGATAAAAATGGGATAAACAAGCTGACTGGGTTGTTTCGGTCTTTGTCTGAAATATGGCAGCAGAGTTTACTATCGGGAGGCTTAACATTAAACAGCCAACATTCACTGCAGAGGCCTTTTCAGAGCCAGACAAGTCCTTACACAGCCTCTCCCAGGCTTCAGGAATGGTGGACTTCACAAAAGCAAACTCCTACACCAGACTGGACTGTAGAGTCACAATTCTTCATCACTGCACTAAGCCAGTATAGGCCAAACCTGGCATCTGAGAGCCCACCCTAGCCCAACTCTGAAAGGTTGGGCTTGGGCCAATTCTTGGCATAAGGGTTTCAGGGACCTTGAGCCTGGATTAAAGCCAGAGTATGGGTAAAGCTGGTTCCACAGACTGGGGGAGCCCTGGCTTCTTGCAGACACAGGTCTGACTTACTACTGAAGCTCGGCTGACAACATCTATACCCACAGGCTCCATAGAACCTGGAAGCCCAAACTCTTACTAGTGACTCAGAGGCCAGGCACCAGTCAGCCCCCACCCCGCGGTCCCAGGGTAGGCCTCTTCTCAGCAGCTTCATTTGGAAATCCAGGAACAGCCCAGGCAGACTCATCCCTCATCTCCAGGTCATCTCCCTTGGGAGGGCAGGCTTGAAAGGCGCCAAGCCCAGGCAGAAGGAAGCAAAACATGTTTTTCTCTGAATTTAAATAAGAGCTGGCAAACAGGCCCAGAGGCCCCTTTGTTTACCTCCTTGACTCTGGGAAGATTTCACACCATGGGTCTGTTCAAAAATAGAACTACTAGAGCTGACTATGAAGGAATGGGCATTGAGCCAACACTAGCTGCCTCGGCTTTATGGGGTCACACAAGCAGAGATGCTGCCCTGAGCCCCAAGTCTGTAAGCCAGGACCCTAGACATTCTCCGACCACACAAACACCCCTTTAAAAGCTGTTAGAAGACGCTAATGGAGTGGATTCGAGTTGACTTTTTTTTTTTTTTTTAAAGATTTATTTATTTATTATGCATACAGTGTTCTGCCCGCACACCAGAAGAGGGCATCAGATCTCTTTACAGGTGGTTGTGAGCTACCATGTGGTTGCTGGGAATTGAACTCAGGACCTCTGGAAGATCAGCCAGTGCTCTTAACCTCTGAGCCATCTCTCCAGCCCTCGAGTTGACTTTTGATGTAAGAGTTTTGTTGTTTTTTTCTCTGTGTAGTCCTGCCTGTTCTAGAACTCAATATGTAGACCAGGTTGACCTCGAACTCAGAGATCTACCTGCCTATGCCTCTCAAATGCTGGAGTTAAAGGTATGTGCCAACATGCCAGATCTGGATGTAGGACTTTTTTCTGTGATGTACAGGCAAGCTGAAAAGCAGTATCATCCTCCCTGTATGAAGAAGAGAATGGAGACTTCAGAAAGAAATGACCTGTCTAAGGCCACCTAACTGGGGGGAAAGGAGACCGAATTCTACACTCACCCTTATATTTGCAAGCCACAGCTGCCATGCCCCTTAGGACAGGATGAGAGTTCCACATACTCACTAGGAAAGGGCAATCTGTGGGCAAACTGCTGATACAATATGCCTCTGCATTAGGCAATGGTTTCTAAAATGTCACACACACACACACACAGCAACCAACTAAAAAAGCCAGGTGGACTGGACTGTTACCAAAATAATAACTTTTGTGCTGCAAAGGACACTATCAAGAGTGAAAAGGCAACTCAGAGGGTGGAAAAAATACTTACAAATCATACCTACTAAGGAATGTATATCCAGATTATATGGAGAACTCTTAGAAATCAAGAAGAAAAAGAAAAACTGGTTAAAAACACAGGCTAGTAAGATGGCTCAGTGTGAGGTTCTGAGTTCAATCCAGAGTACTCACATGGTAGAAAGAAAGAACTTCCTCCTAAATTTGTCCTGTGACATCCACACATGTGTATATGCACATATCCCTCCCCCGAAAAAAATAAACTGGGGTTGGGGTGAATGACCTGAACAAGCCACTTTCAAAGACATATATACATAAAGGGCCAATAATAATGAAGAGATATTCACTAGAAAACACAACTCCAGCCTATCACTTGACACTCACCAGGATAGCTAGTCAAAACAGCAAGACAAGCCCTGGCTAGGGTGTAAAGCCTGGGCCCACAGCACTGGTGGGTTCTGCAGGACGCTGTAGCCTCTGTGAAAAACAGCTTAGCAGCTCCTCAAATGCCAAGTATGACAGCTCATCATATGATCCAGCCTCAGAGGAGGCTGAGCCACGAGGACTGCCATGAACTATATATTAGAGGCTAATCTGAGCTACAAAGTGAGATCCTGTCTCAATAAAACAAGCAAAACACAAGTTAACCAGGAACAACATAATCCAAAAATATTAGAGAGCCAAGAGAACTGCCAAGAGTGTTTAAACACAAACATACAAATGTCCTTAGCTTGATTTACTATAGCCAAAAAGTAGAAGCAACCCATAGCAGAACATGTAAGTCAAATGTATATATTTAATCAATGGAATATTATTCAGCCATAAGACTGAAGTTCTGATAATGCTACAACATAGATGACCGCTGAACACATTATCCTAGGAATATGGCTTATAAGACCAAATAGTGCCAGCCTGAGCTTTGTGGCGGGACCCTGGCTCCATAGAGTGAAAACCAACCAGACCAAACCAAACCAAACCAAACATACATTTAAGAAGGCCAGGCAGAGTGACTCAGACCTATAATTCCATCATTTGGAAGGAAGGTAAAAGCATGAAGATCAGAAGTTCAAGACGTGTCTGGGCTACAGAATGAGTTCAAGGCCAGCAACTCAGTGTGACCCTACTTCAAAATCAAAAAGTAAAAAGACACTAAATCTTTATTTATCTCAGGACTTGGAAGGCAGAAGCAGGCAGATCTCTGAGTTTGAGGTCAGGCTAGTCTACAAGCACGTTCCAGGACAGCCTTAGGTTCAATCTCTAAAAATGCAAAAATTAAACAAATTTTAAAGTACAACAAACGGCTAAGTGGTGTGGTGTGAACTGTCTCTCAATGGGTTGTTACAAAAATAAAACCCAGGCTGGGCTAGCTGGTGGAGCTCTACTAGGGTACCTACCCTCTCTGGTACACACCTAACTAGCTCAAAGGGGTTCTAGCAGGTTCCCCCACCTAACTGCTGATGCTACACCAGCAGAGGACCATGTTTCTCCCTCACTTAGGCTCAGCTGCCAAGCCTCTGACCGAGTACACCTTCACCTTTCTGCCCAGCACATGATCCTGGCGGGGCTGTGGGTACAAGCAGCCCCAGGGATAGACACTAGTGACTGAGCTCCACACAGTGCTTGGAGTGGGCATCCGAACACCTGCTCTACCCTTCCTAACCCAGCCAGCTTCACCTTAGGCTGTGTGCCCACCCCCAGCCGTTGGGTACACTAGGGGTCAAAGCACACTGGCAGCCACACATAACACACATGTCTTTCTCCTGTGCCAGACAGGATGCTGTTTGCTGGTCCCTGGCTTTGGAGCAAAGGGGCTGGCTCAGGAGAAGTTATCAGTAATTTTTCTGTAGACAATTCTCCTAAGAGCAGCAAGCCCCCTGCTGCCTAACCTAGCTCCATTCCTCATCAAACCCATTTCCCCATATTTATCATAGCCCTTCTTAAAAACAAGAAAAAGAAAAAAAAAGAATTAAAAAATTTTATCTGCTTTATTATAATTTTATGTGTATGAGTTACTTTACCTCCATATATGTATGTGTACTAGGTGCACATGAAGACCAGAAGAGGGCACCACATACCCTGAAACAAGTTACAGATGGCTGTGAGCCACCATGTGGGAGCTGGCAATCATTCTGGGTCCTCTGCAAGAGCAGCAGCGCTCTAACCTCTGATCCATCCCTACATAGCTATGCCAGAGCCCTTTTGTCCTCATTCTGGTTCTGAGATGTATGTGGTGCTGGAGTTCTGTACATTCAGTTCTGTACTCTAGGAGCCTGGAACCCTTACCAGTTTGTCACCCCCTCTCCCCGCCATGCTTCTTGTTCCTGTCATGGCCTTTATCAGGCCATCTAATGCACGGGCATCATGGTCTTGCTCCACATGCCCTGTGACCAGCAGCTCTCTCTGCTACTCTGTGGATACAACCAAAGACAAGGGATCGTGGGATGGGTACGGAAGGGGATGATGGGACATGGACATGCAGAGAAAGGCAAACTGGCCACCAGACACTTAGTGTGCTTTCAACATGAAGTGTCAGAGCTTAGAACTTGAAACCTGTTTTAAGGGGTCATGGAACTCAGTGCTTGTCATACTCTGTACATGGCAGAACCCAGGCCAGGGCTCCTTCTCCCAGGGAGGAACCGCAAGGACGGTAGGGACCACAGTCACTGTCTTGTGGTAAGTGGTTAAGAAATCCCAAGTTTCACATGTCCATGAGGTGAGGTGACGCAGTGCTGGGGATACAGGAAGCATCAGTTTTGGCTGCTCCCGTCCTCCAGATTTTTAGACTCTGATTCTGATGTACCCCAATTGTCACTGCTAGGTCTCTTGCAGTGTGGGTAGCATCCCAGCTGCCCAGATGGTACAACACAAGGGACTGGTGTTGAGAGCTCACCAGGTCCTGTTGGCTGGGAAGATAAAGCAGCCCTTTCTGACTCTGAAAACAAGTGCTTAGGACATGTTCCAGGAGTCCAGGCAGGCCACGGTGGGAGGGACGTTTGCTTGCTCAAATTTCTCCCAGGGTGGAACTATACTTACTCCCAAGCATTTGAAATCTGAACTCAGAACTAAGGACCACAGCAGAGCCAGGCCCTTCCTGTCTATAACTGAGAACTCAAGCAATGGTCCCTGAGTCCTAACCTAACACTATTGGGTGGCTTCCGGGGGTTTGCTCTGGGGCACAGGAGAACTGCAGGTGACCAGGAGTTTATCAAGGACCTGAAGCCACTTGGGATCTGATAATGTAAATGCTGCTAAGAGTTGGTAACAGAAGAAAATGATGTCAGCAGGGGCCAGCAGGAGCCTCAAGAAGCTGCATCTCTCAAGCCTTGACCATAGCACTTGAAGCTGCCACACAGCACCGTGAAGGCCAACACTCGGTACCTGCTGCTAGAAGCAGCCAGCTGCATGTGCACAGTTTCGAAGCGGGCTCCCCTCAACTACTGATTGTGGATGGGTCCTCTGTGTCACTGTCACTCCCAGGACCCATACAATGTCACCAGGCATCACAGGACCTCAGACTGGACCCCAGGGAACAAAACCGTCCTACATTGGCTCTCAGGCCTCCCGGCCTTGGCTTCATACAAGGTGAAAGGACACTTTGGCTGCACCCATAAGCAGGCTTTCTGCAGGAATGGTGAGGCATGGGACAGACAGCAAGACTAAAAGAGAGCTGCTTGGCCAGTGGGCTACTAGAGGGTGACAACAAGCAACGCACGTGCCTGCTTAGCATGTCACAGGCTTCGGCTGAGGGGGCTCATACCCTTTTGGATGTGCCTCGTTCCTTCTCGCTCAAAACATTTTTATTATTTTATGTGTTGGGTGTATTGCCTAAATGGATGTCTGCATACCCTTTATGTTCCTTGTGCTCACAGAGCACGCTGGATCCCTATCGAACAGAAGTTCCCTCTCTCCAGCACCTTTTCTCTTGCTCATACTGACAGAAAGCCCTATGGAAGCTGATTCTTGGGATGTCTGGTAAACTTAGCTGAGTCCAAAACCTACTAACAAACTCCCTGACTTGCCATGTCTTTGCAAAAAGCCCTTTGTTCTTGCTTTTGCTAAGCATTCCAGTTCCCAGGGGAGTCTTTTTCCAACGTAGACAAGAAAGAGGACAAAAACGTGAGACCAGAGGGAAGGATGAGCATGCTAGTTCTCCTACCTGAAGGCGTAGGTCTTCTGGTGCCAGCTCAGCTGTCCCCGGATGCTGTATGCGATGGTGGTGACAAACTCCCCACCCAGACCCAGCTCTGAGCACAGCTTCAGGGCGAACTTCTCGGGGGAGTTTTCCTTCTCTGACATGTCCCATTCAAACTGGTCTACCAGGGAGATGTTGCCCACATGGATGTTCAGCTGCGGCAAGAACCAATAAGCACAAGTGAGGGCAGCCCAGGATGCTGTGAGGAGGTGGGGACAAGCCATGCTCGGTTGTCATGAATTCTGCCCATGACCCAGGAGCTAAGAACCAAGGCTGGCCCTTGTCTGTCCAGTTCTTGTTTACAAAACAGGACTGACCTCACACACCTCCCAGATTGTCAACAGACACTGAGTTCGCACCTTACCCTCTCTTCTCATCCCCCTTGTCATCTCATGCTGACCAAGTGTCTTCTTTGTCCTTTACACCTGTGGCGATCAATCTTTATATAGCTATGCTGACCACGTAGGGTCCCTGAGTCTGTTTTAAGCCACTGTCTATACCCTAAAGTCACTGCTTTACAACCATCTTGCCAAGCAGCCCACAGGTGCACCTGCCCTATTTACTCCTTACCCCTTAGAAAGACATGCCTATTCCCAAACACCAACTCCACAAAGTTGCCCTCTGACCTCCATCTATCCTGGCATACACATACTAATAATAGTTGAAAAAAATTCAACACAGCAAGGCACATGCATCATAGCACACAAACTAATAATAAAGCTAAAAATGCTGGGCGGTGGTGGCGCACACCTTTGATCCCAGCACTTGGGAGGCAGAGGCAGGTGGATCTCTGTGAGTTTGAGGCTAGCCTGGATTACAGAGCTAGTTTCAGAACAGACAGAGCTACACAGAAAAACTGTCTCAAAAAACCAAAAACCGAAGTAGTAATAAAACAAACAAACAAATGAATGAAGCTAAAGTCACCCATCAGGATGACTATTACCAAACAAGGAAGTAAGGGAGGGATGAAGGAAAGAAGGGAGGCAATACAACTTTTGGTAACTATGGGGAGATACTGGAACCTTTGTGCATTGTTAGTGGGAATATAAAATGGTTCAACTGCTGTGCAAGTTTGGTAGGTCCTCAAAATATTAAAGGACAGCCAAGTGATCTAGCAATCTGAACTTGTGAGTATAAACCCCGAAGAACTGAAAGCAGGATACAAACAAGTATTTGAATTATGAAATATTTCTGGCCCAGTACTTAACTAGAATATTACATCCATGCTGCACATCTCACTAAGGGCTTTCATACTTCACCACCAGCTGCTTTCACCTTCTTTTTTTTTTTTTAAAGATTTATTTATTTATTATGTATACAGCATGTATGACTGCAGGCCAGAAGAGGGCACCAGATCTCATTACAGATGGTCGTGAGCCACCATGTGGTTGCTGGGAATTGAACTCAGGACCTCTGGAAGAACAGCCAGTGCTCTTAACCCCTGAGCCATCTCTCCAGCCCCTGCTTTCACCTTCTAACTTGGGGAGTGGCTCAGCGCCTGACAGATAAAGCAGCACTGGCTGTCCTACCCTCAATGTGACACTTCACTCTGAAAAGTCAGCCCTCCCATTCCTGAGGACACAGTCGGGCTGTTGCTGAAAGATGCCTTCCCAGAAACTGCATCTCAAGCAAGGAACCCTGACAGACTTCCAAGGGCTGAGTACTCTTTGCACCTACCTTGATGATGACGCGCTGGTCAGACTGGTCCTCCAGGATGCTGTCTGTGGGGTAGGACTCAATCTGCTGTCTAATGGCAGAGGCAATAGCTGGCACGAAAGTCAGCGGATTCAAATCCAGGTCGTCACAAAGGATTTCTGAAAACATCTCAGGGGTCATCAGCTTCTCTGAAATCAGAAAACGCAAACATTCCAAGCTATTTGCAGAGCCTCATTTTATGGTGCTCACACCTGTCCTGGCTCCTCCTATTTCTTCCTCCTTTGTCAAACCTCCCCTCATGCTGATGTGGATGACCGGGCAACTGAGCGTGGCCTTCCCAGACGCTGAGAGCAGCAGAGGAAGAAGCGTCCTTTCCCTTCTGGCCCACATCATTCAGATTCCTGCCCCTGGGGAATCTTCCCATGGTTCACCTCCTATGAAACCAGAGTGTGCTCTGAAAACCACACTTGGGCAGTCAAGATCCAGGCCATGTCCATCAACACCAGGATCCCTCTATGTTCTTTTGCACCCACAGCTACTTGCCTCCTACCACTCTTCATCTGTGATATGTTTCTATAATTTGAGCATTTGAAGAACTGAAATCATACCTTATGCAACTTTGGGAGTAACTTTTTTCTAGTCAGAAAAATTCTTCAGAGAAGCTAGCCATGGTGGTACATACCTTTAATACCAGCAGCAAGGAGGCAGAGGCGAATGAATTGCTATGATTTCGGGGCTAGCCTGGTCTATATAGTGAGTTCCAAGCCAACTAGGGCTACATTCTGACCAACCAACCAAAAGTTCTCCAGAGATCCATGCAGGCTGTTATTTCCTTTTTATTGCTGATTAGTATGCTGTGTGGGTGGTGGTGGTGGTGGTGTCACATTTAAGTATTTACCCACTGAAGGGCATCTAGGCTTCTTCTAATTTCTGGCTATCATGCATAAAGTTTCTGTCAACATTCACATGTAGGTTTCAGTGTAAACAGATGCCTTCAGAACTTCTCTGGGACACATGCTCTACACTGAAGCTGCTTGCTCATATAGTAGTCAAACTGTAAAACAGGTTTAGGTTTTGAACGGTTTTGCAGTACAGCCCAGATATTTACATTTGCACCAGTGTGAGGGACTCAGTTCTTCCCTTCCTCACTGGTATTGTCACTAGTCTTAATTTGCATGTCTGGAATAGCTAATCAAGCAGAACTCCTTTGCAATGTCGGTTCCCATCTGAATAGCTTCAGTGAAATGTACCTTCATGTCTTCTGTCCTAGTTCTACAGGACTTTAGATTGATTTTTATGTCTGTGGTTGTTTTGTCCTCATGTATGTCTGTGCACCACTTACATGCCTGGTGCCTACAGAGACAAGAAGGCACTGGATTCCCTTGAAATGGAATTACAGACCTGCTGTGGGATGTTCTGTATGTTGTGAATGTGTTGCTCTGACTGGTTGATAAATAAAATGCTGATTGGTCAGTAGCCAGGCAGGAAGTATAGGCAGGATAAGCAGAGAGGAGAATTCTGGGAAGAGGAAGGCTGAGTCAGTAGACGCCAGCCCGCCGTCCAGGAAGCAGCATGTAACAGTACACAGGTAAAGCCATGGAACACGTGGCAACATATAGATTAACAGAAATGGGCTGAGTTTAAATGTAAGAGCTAGTCAGTGGTAAGCCTGAGCTAACGGCCAAGCAGTTTTAATTAATATAAGCTTCTGAGTAATTATTTTATAAGTGGCTGCGGAGTCACGGGACTGGGCAGGACCAGAGAAAACTTCAGCTACACAGACCGTTGTGAGCTCCCATGTGGGTGCTGGGAATTGAACCTGGGTCCTCTGGAAGAGCAGCCAGTGCTCATAACTTCTGAGTTAACTCTAGCCCATGTCCTTATTTTAAATAGTTTGCTTTGAGTTTTTACAATTTGTTCTTTCATAAAAGTATCTTGATCATATTCCATTCCCTGTTATCTTTTTCTTTTTGAGACAGGGTCTCCCTATGTAGCCCTCCCTGGCTGGCCTGTAACTTGCTCTGTAGACCCTGAGCTCAGAGATCAACCTGCTTCTGCCTTCTGGGTGCTGGAATTAGAGGCATGCACTTTCACATCTGGCTGTCTTTTCACCCTTCTGACAGGGTCTTTTGCAGAGCTAAGTTTTGATGAGGTCCAAGTTTTAGTATTTTCTGCTCTGGACTGTGCGGATGGTGACTAGTGATTCTCTGTCTAGCCCTGAACACCCAAGATTTTCTCTTACACTTTCCCCAACAAGTTTCATGGTTTTGTGTTTTATATACATCAAGTCTATGATTCTAGAGTTTAGTATTCACTGTGAGATTAGGTCAAAGTTTATTATCTTTGGATAATCAATTGCTCCAGCATAATTTTATCCAAAGGACTATCTTTCCTCCAATCAACTGCATTTGCATCTTTTTGTCACAAACCAGTAGGGCTCAGAAAGGGGCGAGGATAGAGGCATGAGAGCACACATGTGGCCTTGTGACATCAGGGACAAAGCTGAAGGGGAGCTGTGGGGAGGCACGGGACCGAGCCTAAGCAATACCTTGGTCAGCACTAAACTAGACATCCTTGCCACACCAAGCCCCTAGAGCAGTGGTTCTCAACCTTCTTAATGCTGTGACCCTTGTTGTGGTGACCCCCAACCATAAAATTATTTTCATTGCTATTTCATAACTGTAATTTTGCTACTGTTACGAATCGTAACGCAAGTATCTGATATGTAGAATAACCGCCACTCGAGAGCTAACTGACTCACAGGAGGAAGGCAGAACCTGAAATTCACATATGACGTCGTTATTTGTATTTTTTTTTTGCTGTGCTTGCTTTTTTGTTAGAGCCTCACAAATGCAGCCCAGGCTGATCATGATTGTGCAATCCTCTTGCCTCTACTTCCCAAGACCTAGGATTATAGGTACATGACAGAGGGCCTAATTCTAGAAATGCACTTTTTTTCCATGCTGATTTTTTTAGTTTTTCGAGACAGGGTTTCTCTGTGTAGCTTTGTGCCTTTCCTGGGACTCACTTGGTAGCCCAGGCTGGCCTCGAACTCACAGAGATCCACCTGGCTCTGCCTCCCGAGTGCTGGGATTAAAGGCGTGCGCCACCACCGCCCGGCCCATGCTGATTTTTTTTCCATCCACATTCTATGTTGCTGACCAGACCAAGCCAGCCATTAAAGCCATGTACAACCACACATTTAATTATTTATTAGCAGCTGGGAAGATAAGGTATTGCTTATTCTTTGAAAGCTGGAAGGTAATGCAGGCAGGCACAGTCTTCTCTAATGAGAGCTCATTCTTGTTATGTTGGTTTCATTGCTACAAAGGTAGACTGTCATTAAGTGTGTCCTCAAGTTTCTCTAAATAACTTCATTTCTGCTTTTTGTCATGAGTTGAAGCAGTGTGAGGCCTCAACAGAAAAAACCTTACTTAGTAGCCAACCTTGAACTTCCCAGCTTTCAGACACACAACAGAGTGAATTGCTTATATTTATTTAGAAATTGCCCAGGTTCTGGTTATAGCAAAAGAAAACCAACTAAGACACATGCCCAGTCCACAAGGAATAGCGCACAGTGGCAGAGCCAGGATGAACCCAGAATCTGCAGCCTTAAGAACCATGCCACAAAGTTTCAAATGTCAAGATGAGAATCTGCCTGACAGGCAGTTGGTTGAAAAGTGGGTCAATTTCATATAAAGCCCAGGCAAAGCTGACTATCCACATACCATTCATGTTCCAGGTAAAGGCATCCCGCAGCTTCTGCCCATCTATCTCCATGTCCAACCTGATGGGTACCAGCACCTCAGGCTGTGATGCATTCTCATGGATCACGGCTGGATCATGGTCATCAAAGCTGAAAGTGAAACCACAGCAGCTGTCAGTCAGGGCTCCAGGGATCCCTATGCCTAGGTCCCCAGGGACACAAGTTTCTAGCTTCCCTTTGCACTGTGGGTCACTGTAAATATGGTTGGAACGGACAGGCCATTTCTTATAAGCATTTGTCATCTAACACTGAGGTAGCACAGAAGAGGTTACAGGGGTCCCGAGGCCAGTCTAATGGGAGTGCGGGGGGCAAAAACAATAAGCTCAAACATGTCTAGGGTTAGGTTCTGCAACAGCGTGGGGCAATGTGCTTCACAAATGCACTCGAAGAGCCAGGAAGCTGCTGCTCTAGAAAGAAGAAAACCTAGACATGCCAGCTTATGCCTGTATTCCTAGCACTTGGGAAGCCGAGGCAGGAGAATTGCCAAGTTGGACTCATTGTAGGTCACTGTAGGGTACAGAGTGAGACTCTGTCTCAAAACAACAAAAACTACCCCTTTGCCCTTGAGGCTCAGCAAACACCTCAGAAGAGGGGTGGAAAAACACTAAGGCCTTAGGTGAAAGCGTAACGAACCTCTGATGGGAGCAATGCCCTGCTCACACCTTGATTTGGTCTGTGAACCTCTTTCAGACTCCTGCCTTTAGAACTAGGAGAGCATAAATCTGCACTGTTCTAAGCCACTAGTGTTTTGTTTCAGCAGCCACAGAGAACTGATAGAGTGGGAGCCACGTGGATATCACCCCAAACCCCCTAGGTTGGCTGTGGGCATCAGATGACCCATATAAAGGCCTAGGGACTATGTCCCCAAGAATTACACTGAGATGCTAGGGAAGGGGGGAATGGGAGAGAACAGAGCAGCGAGCCAGGGAGGATGGGGAAAGCCAAGGATGATGTCCTGGAAGTAAGAGAACAGCATCTGAGGCAGTGGCGGGTAGCATTTGTGAAAACACGGGCCACTGAACAGGGCCTCTCTGGGAATGAGCCTAAATGCCCTGGAGAAAGGAGGGGGGCATCTGTGCAGAGCCAAGCACAGCAGCGCCTGCTCACCACAAGGGGAAGGTTCGCTTCTTGTCCCGACCCATGCGGTTCCTGTTGATGGTGGTGGAACATGGCACAGCGTCTAGATGGTGGGAACTGTTGGGTAGGGTGGGTACCCACTGGCTGTTTCTCTTGGCCTTCTGTTCCCTGAAGAGACAGAGAGAGAAAGTAACCCCTTCAGACCAGGAGTCAGGTTCTGCTCACTTGGACTTTATTCCTGTTCAGTGGGCACTACTGTGCCCCTGTTAGTCTCCAAGCTCCTGTGGAGGACATCTGCACATTTCTTACACTGTAGGACTCTTCTTGGCACCTAGTGGTACCTGTGTGAGAAGGGCACAAAAGTATTAGATACAGGGCAGGGCATGGTGGTGCAGCCTTTAATCCCAACACTCAGGAGGTAGAGGCAGGTGGATCTCTTTTGAGTTCCGGGACAGCCAGAGTTACATAGTAAGACCCACTCTCAAAAAACAGACAAAGAAAGAGGTATTAGATACAGCCAGGCACAAGTTGGCCCTTAACCACGGCCATGATGCACTGCATTACATGCTCGCAGACATGGTTTGCAGAGAAGCACATCCCTTATCAGGGAAAGGAGAGTAAGACACAGCCTTTCCAGAATGCTCTGGAAAGGGGAGTCAGATGTGAGTCAGGGCTCGGTGGGCAAAGATCTGCAGCAATAGAGACCTGACATGATGGGGCCAAGCTGGCTCCTCTGACCCCTTCCCGCTCCACCCTCTCTCAAAAGATGGTGATGCTGTCAGACGGAGGGGGTGGGGGCGGCAGCAGGAGAAAGACACTGCCTCGGTGAAGGGCTCCAATTACAGCGTCCCTTGAGTTCTTGCCTAGCTGCTGGCTAGGAGTCCCTAAATGCCTAAAAGGATCAATGTGATTGATTTCTGAGGCGATGTCTTGATATGCTGCCTAGGCTGGCTCTGACTTCCTGGGTTCAAATGAAGCCTTCTGAGTAGCTGGGGCTACAGAGATGGCTGGTTGTGATTTTAGATGTGCTGGCCATCCCAAAATGCACTGCCAAGGCTTCTAGTCTTTAAACTCATGAACTATACAAGTGAGGAAAATGGACTGATAAGTATAATCTAGGAAATAGCACTGGAGATAATCAACCAGCCCATGCAACATGAAAAACTCTCTCTTTCCACAAACTCCAGGTTGCTGTTACTATTGGGAAAATTCCCAAAGCTACTCCACACTAGGACCTTCTATGCTTTGCTTGTGTGTCTTTCCTAGTGAGACCCTGGCTGGCAGATAGGGAGCCACTATGTGCTGCCCACTGTGCGTTAGCTTTAACTATAATAATTAAATGATTAAATAAAAAATATCAATCAAAAACAGAAAGAATACAAACCAAGCTGGTGATGCAAGCAGGCAAGATGGGTACATGTCTCTCTGTCGTGACTATGGATGTGAGGTGACTAGCTGAGATCCTCCCTGACTGCCCCTCAATGGTGAACTTAACTTCAGTTGTAAGCCAAATAAACTTGGTCCTGCTTCTAAGCTGCTTTTTGCCAGGGGATTTTAGCACAGCAGCAGAACGGAAACCAGAACACTGACCTATCTACCCCACTACTGCACTCAGGGTTCCTGTAGTAACTGTCCACTCGAGTTCAAAGGGAGCCAAGAGCACTTTCTAAGAAAGGTCAGGACGTCGTCCTTGGGGGCAGAGCCTTTAAGTGTAACCTTTATCCTGAAGAAAAAAAGCTAGCGTCACTTAACACCTGTAATGCTAAAGCACCCTCTGGGCAAGGGTGGGCAGGGAATGAACCACAGTGCCGAGTTTGGCCAGGACTTTACCAAGTTTACAGCACCACAGGTCTGACTCTGACCTTAAGGTCTGCTTTCACCTTTGAGACCTGGACCACAGCCCAGCAACTGAGACTAATCTGTACATGCTCAACATCTGGGACAGCAAGCCCAGTTTCCATCTCAGCCTCTGTGGACAAACGGTTCATGAGAATGTGAAATTTTAAGTAGCAAATTCTTAAGCCCTATCCAGATTAAATGAGTATCCATCTCTGGAGAGGGCTGGCATTCTTTGCACCTTCCAGACAATTCCAGTGCAGCTGGGCTTGTATCTGGAAACTGCAGATCTTCACTATTTAGTCTTCTGTGCTGACCCCACCCCTTGACCCTCAAATCCTGCCTATCTCCAACCTTGCTCCTATTAAAAGAACTTGCCAAGAATCCTAAGAGGGGACAAATTATCCAGTGACAGGATAACCGCAAGGCCCAGTGTCAGGCTGACTGGGCAGTGGAGCTGCTAACTTCAAACACTGGACACCCCTATCCCTGTTTTTGGCTTCCAAGGCAATGGACATCTACTCCCTCAGCTGGTGCTCATATGACACAATCCAGAAACTGTTTACCGCTGTGTAAAGGGTTCCCAGCTGACATGTGCAAACATAAAAGTGTCATCCAGATGTACATAACTCCTTCTGTAACTTCTGGGAAGGTCCAGTTATCCTTATGTTCTTACCACATCCCGTGGGGAAAACAAGAATCTGCTGAGCAAGCGTCTACAGCGCCCACCAGCCTGGATGCATGCCACCTTCTCCGGGGACTGAGGGGGACCAGAAAAGCAATCTAACAACAAAGATGAAGACAAACCCGGATGGAAATGATTTTCCACAGCCACATCACTCTGAACAATACCTTCCTCCCTTCCTACTCTCTGGGTTTTATACATTAACATTTGTTTCTTTTCTCACTCTGTTTTTTGATAATGTCTCACTATGTAGCCCAGGCAGGCCTTTAGGTCAAGACCCTCCTGCCTTCACTCGAAAGTTCTGGGATTACAGGTGTGGCCACACTGACTAGCTTTTATTATTAAGCTTTGAATTTTTAAAATGACATGAGTGACTGGGGATGTAGCTCAACAGTAGAACATGTTTTAGCGAAGAGGCCCTGGGCTCCATTCTCCACTCCACCCACAACAGAACAAGATTACAGAAGAGGACAAACATTCTTCCCATGTTTGTTTACCTCTTGTATTTCTAGATGTGGACTACATTCTAGTTATTTGTGTTTTACAGACTGGGGTGTAGCTCAGTGGTGGACATAAGCTCACGGAGTCCTGGGTTCAACCTCTAGCACCACTACCCCTCCCCAAATCTATTGGAGTCCTCAGTCTCCAGTTTGAAGTCTAGATGTGCAGACACCACATACCATACAGTACATTTTTAGTTACTCGCCTCTTGACTGCCACAGATACGCTCATAAAAGTTCCATTCTAGGCTGGGAAGATGGCTCGGTGGGTAAAGGCACTTGTTTGGGAGTATGGTAATCTGAACACATGTAAAGATGGAGGAAACCAACTCCACAAAGCTGCCCCCGACCTCCACATGCATGCCATGTCACACACGTGCAAGCTCTCCAGCCCTACGATAATACCGCATGAAAAAGTTATTTTTAAAAATAACTCCAGAGATATAACACGGATTGCTAAACGGTCTTATTAATAGAAAACCTGGAGCCAGATATTGGGGTGAAAAATCAGAGAAACAGAACAAGCCACAGCCAACCTCACCTTACCAACTTCTCAGCCTCTAGAGAGAGACTTCCTGTTTACTCATGCCTTATATACCTTTCTGTGCCCTGCCGTCTTCCTTCCTTTCCTTCCTTTCCTTCCTTTCCTTCCTTTCTTTCCTTCCTTCCTTCCTTCCTTCCTTCCTTCCTTCCTTCCTTCCTTCCTTCCTTCCTTCCTTCCTAGTGCTGGGATTAAAGGCGTGTGCCACCATGCTTCCAGGGTGGCCATGAACTCAGATCCAGACAGATCTCTGCCTCCCAAGTGATAGGATTAAGGGTGTGTACCACCACTGTCTTGCCTCTATGTCTATGTCTAGTAGCTGGCTCTGTCCTTTGACCCCCAGATAAGTTTATTAGGGTACACAATATATTACCACACAAAGGCAGGCAGATCTCGGAGTTTGAGGCTAGCTTAGTCTACAGAGTGAGCTCCAGGACAGCTAGGGCTGTTACACAGAAAAACCCTGTCTCAAAAAAACCAAAAAAACAAAAAACAACAAAAATTTTTTCCTGGCTGGGTGGTGGTGGTGGTGCACGCCTTCAATCCCAGCACTGGTGTGGGAGGGGCAGGTGGTCTCTGAGTTCAAGGCTAGCCTGGTCTACAGAGTAAGCTCCAGGACTCAGCCAGGACTACACAGAGAAACCCTGACTCAAAAACAAAACAAAACAAAGTTTGGACCTGAGGATATAGTTCAATTGGTAGAGTACTTACCTGATGCGCATAAAGTCCTGGGCACCATCCCCAGCACTATTATAAACAGGCATGATGGCACACACTTGTAATCAGAGCATCCAGGAGGTGGAGGCAGGAGGATTCTAAGTTTAACACCATACTTAGCTACATAGCAAGTTTAAGACCAGCCTGGACTACATGAGACCCTATCTCAAAAGGAAAGAAAAGGCTCTTTCAAAGTTTTACCTGTGTACATTCAAATCTTATTTCTTTCGGGAATTTATCTGAGTCACAATTTTTTTTTTTTTTTTGGGCAAATGAGTCCGTTTCAGAATATTCCAGAATTCAAGACTTGGCCTCTGTTTGTTAAAAATTCCAAAAGATACAGAAGAAACTTAGAAACCTAGGTCAGGCAGTTATAAACACAGTGAGTAAAGTGTTGAAAGACATTTCAGTTCACTTTAACTTGTTCTTCATGAGAAACCCCCACCTACCGCATGTCCCTGAAGCATACACACCGAGATCAGGAGGGCGTACCTGAGGTAGGTGGGGGGCTCTGTGCTGATGGACACAGCCTTGTATTTCTCATCGTTGCCATCCAGAATCTCTTCCACCTCTGAGGCTTTCAGCAGCGTCACACTGGTGGCGAGGGTGGTGTACCCGTGATCTGTAAGCAGAGAGACCCCACTGCGGTCATCCTGCAGCAGTGTGAACAAGCTGCCAGCCAAGTTGATACAGCACATGAGGTCCTCACATGCAGGAGGTGGGGAAAGCAAGGTGTCAAACTCACTACTGCTGAGTGCTGGCCTCTTCCAAAAGGGCAATCTGGACTGAGGCTTCACCTAGACATCTCAGTGGAGAAAGCCTCTGGTGGGATGGATTTGGACAAATTTGCCTCTTAAGAGCACTAGCTCAGGGGCAGACATGTTTGGGGTAGCTGCAGCTTAGGGGCTGCCAGGAAGGCTTCAGGGTAACACACCCCAGTGGGAAGAGGTCTGACACCACCACAATCTAAAACACAAAGCAAGGAAGAGATAGAATGAAAGATGAATCCTTTCCTTTTAAAACAAGAGCCCAGAGAGAGTTGGAAAGAACTGCTTCACACCAAGCAAGTTACCATCCCTGAGTCAGGCCAGATGTGCTGTCTGGAAAGCAAGGCAGGACTTCATATCACGTGATCCCCAGCTCACCTTTGTCAAGAGCTGCTACTTATCTGCAGGACCTGCTTAGCTTTGCTGGAGGACTCACTTAGTTATAGGGAAGGAAGGCACACCGCAGAAAGACCACTAAGACTTATGTGAACTCAGGGAAGGGCTGGCAAAGTTAGGCAGCCACCATGCTAGTGACTGGACGCCACTTGTGGCAGAGGAGACACAAAGGAAACTGTTTTAGGTAACAGCGGATCTCTTTCAGTCGTGGATAAAAAGCAGCTCTGGCTCCTGCATTAAAAGAACCCCCAATATACCACAACAGACAAAACTACATTTGCACCTACAGACAAGACACACTACAAAGTGCTAGTGAGCACACATGCATGCACGTACACACGCACCCAGGCCCACGGCAGCTCTCTACAGGGTGCCTCTGCTAAGTAGAAAGCAGTTTTGCCACCTGCCAAACGGCATGTTGCACCATCCCCAAATGTCCCTGCTGGAGGCCCCAAATGTCTAAAGAGCATCTTCACTCTGCACAGAGTTGCCACAGCCCAGAGCTTGCACTGGTTTCACTAGCACCAGGCGGCTCGCCCAGCAAGCTCGGCCCAGGGCAGGCCACATGGAATGGGGACATGCACATGAGCTTAGCACACTGGTTGCCAAGATGAAGTATTACGGGATAAATGTGCTCTGAAGGGAAGCGGTGAAAGGCCCAGAGGAAAGTGAAGGGACCACCATCTGCTACTAGGGCTGCACGAAGGTGACTACAGCAACACACTCACAGCGAATGGCAGCAAATCACAGCATTCCTAAAACGTTTTGAGACCAACATGTCTTCACAGCACCTGCTACTGCCCTGGCCCCGGCCCCGCACGCACCCACTGGCCCAGCCAGGAACACACAACAGCGGAGCACCGAAGACTCCCCGTTCCGCTCTCACCTGAATCATGTGTGCGCTGGCAGGGTGGCCTGCCCCAGGATGCTCCCTACCCACCTAAGGTCAGGCTGCAATGAAGACACTGGAGTGAAAACGTTTTATCTTCATGACATAAGCGAGTGGTTTTGAAACAGGTTTACAAACCCTCGTGAAGACGCACCCTTAGTGTTAGGTTTTGTTTTTTTACCATGTGACGATGCAACTATTTTCTTCCTCTCTTCCACAGTGGCTAGTCGCCTCCAGAGTGAGGGGTATCTCTTGTACAGAGAACCTCGGAACATACGGAGGTAGTTTCCCACCTATGAGTAAAGCAAGAAGGCTCATTATGAGGGTCAGGCCATCTATCACTATGCTGAAGGGCTCTGGCATAGAGGATTTGCTGGATCAAGTATACGAGATACAAGGCCTCCAGACGCCAGCCTGTCAGCAGTCATAAAACACATTCTGCTGACATCAAGGGTTCAACAGCAGTGCACATCTGGCTGGAATCTGTATCCTGACATCAGAACCAAGTTCCAAAAGGCCTGGCCAGATGTCTAATAGGGCAGATCCCAGACCTCAGTAAGAAGCTTGTGATTTTGATCTGGACTAAAGAGTTTTTGGCACTTTTCTGAAATCTAAGACTCCTGTGACCTCCTTTCATCTTAAGAAGCAGACTTTGATATTTTTACAAGGCAATAAACACCAAAATGTCTTTAATTTTAGACAGATGCAAGATAATTTGTCCTGCTGCCTGGGTTGCTTTATTTAGTAACAAAACTCAAACCAGAGACACCAAAGGATCTTCCAGGATCTAAAAAGCACTGTATTAATAATCCCTGACTATCACAGAAATCACGACTTCCCCCAAGCACTAGCTTCAGCTTGTTTAGAGCAATACTGTAAGCACAGCCTTCATGAAAAGCTAGGCCTACTATTTTCTTAAAGATCCGTGGTCTCACTGACTTTTCAGAAATGATGTCTGCACAGCCACACTATGGGGACAACCGGGGATACGGTGCAAGGTGCTGGCTCCATCTGCAAATCTGGGCCTCTTTACTCCCCTGTCAAATGTTTAAAAACTCTGATTTTTTTTTCCTGAGACAGATTCTCACTATGTAGCTTGGCTAGCCTGGAACTGGCTATGTAGACCAGGCTGGCCTTGAACTCACAGAGATGGGCCTGCCTCTGCTTCCCAAGTGCTGGGATTAAAGGTACGTGCCACCACGCCAGGCCCTCCAGTCTGAATTCTGCTCGAGAGGATCACTCCTATTATTTTTTCATCTTCTCTACCCATCATAGCATATATTTATTAAGACAAAGTCATTTCTCCACTTTTCTTCCAGGAGAGATTGATTTACAACAGCCAGAGTTGCTGGGCCCCAGAGCCTAGCGGTCTATATAGAGAACAGCAAAGACTCCTTGGTACTATTTGGTTTGTGGGTTATTACTATCCAAAGGTAAAGTACGGTTTTCATTCATTTTAAAAAACAAGTCAGGGCTGGAGAGATGGCTCAGTGGTTAAGAGCACTGGCTGTTCTTCCAGAGGTTCTGAGTTCAATTCCCAGCAACCACATGGTGGCTCACAACCATCTATAATGAGATCTGGTGCCCTCTTCTGGCATGCAGGCAGAACACTGTATACATAATAAATAAAGGAATGAATAAATAAATCTTTAAAACAAAAACAAGTCAGCAATGTTGCCCCCACAGCTACTGTGAGGGTCCTGCAGGGCTTCTGTACCAGAGCCTTCCTTCCTAAGGTCCCTTCAGGGCTTAGGACACTAAGGCTAGATGGCTTGGCTTTTCCTAAATCAGTCTTTTCCCTCTCTGGAATACAAAATAAAGATTCTGGATTTGGGTATTCATTCTTCAAAGTTCTGTGACTTGTGTGGCACATGGCAGGATGGCGCTGACAGAGTCAGACCACGGCAGATGCCCTCCCACGGCAGATGCCCTCCCACAGCAGCTCCACCAATGCCTGAGACGCTGCAAGCGCTGCCACATCTGGTCCAGGTGTCTGAATGCTGTAGTCTTTGTCTAAGAGGAAGGGGCCAAGGACCATCATCTAGACAGTACTGCCACAGGAACCACAGAAAGGACCACACGATCCTAAGCTCTTCCCAAAACCAAAGCCAGGCCCCAAAGAGCAAATACCCCTGTCCATTTTGGTCTCAGGATAATTATTCTCATTCAACTGGGAGGGCCAAGAATAAACAGGTTGAAAGAAGATTGTGGTTAGCTTTCTAAAACCTAAAACCTGCTATGACGATGACCTCAAAAAGCCATGTATCTCCAGTTTAAGCATCTCATACGCATGAGAAAAATGGGACCAGCCAAGAACAGAGTTTAACGGAAGAGCACAAAGCTCTAGGTTCAGTTCCGAGCATGAGAAAAGAGAAGTTTCCCACCCCAACTGATCAGCTGTCTTTTAATTGCTCCACCAGATGAGAATTTTCTTTTCAAAACTACCACCACCCACTCAGAGCTAGGGCCAGATTTACCCTTTCACACGTTAGATCAGGTAAACGTTTCTTTCAACAAGCTGTTCTGTATAGACTGCTGAAACTGCCTTACATACCCTGCATTTGAGCAAATGCCCGTCGGCTAACAAGGACCATTCCCAGCTGTGGGAGATGGACAGGCACTGAGTGCTCGTCCCCAGCACAGCCACTGAGGAACAGCAGCACTGAAGTGAGGGTGCGAACATGTCACGGCACCTCCCACTTCTTGTTTAGTGAAAATGGCAACGCTTAAGTCCTGAAGCTTCTGACAGCACTGGCCCCATTCCCTGATACAGCTATGTCAAGAACCACGAGGGGTCCTTAAAGCCTCTGTCTGCTGTGAGGTTTTAGTCATCATGCAGCACTAAACTGTCAAAAACAAAATAAAACACCTAGCAAGCAACCAAAATCCAACCACACACTAATGAAACGGAGTAGATGGCACTGGAAACAGTTGCCGGGAGGTAAAGGTTGGTATCTGAAATGGCTTTAGCTCTCCATGGTGGACAGCACTCACCTCCTCACACGTCTTCTATGTCTACAAATTGACATCCGCACATCTGCACTTTATACCCATATCTTTCTTTCTTTCTTTTTTTTCTTTTGAGATAGGGTCTCACTATGTAGGTCAGGCTGGACTCAAACTCACCCTCTTCCTCTTATCTCCTGAGTGCTCAGATTAAAGGTGCACCCCAGTGACTGGCCGTCCATATCTTTTCTTTCTTTCTTTCTTTTTTGGAAAAAGATGAACATAAGCTGGTGTGGTGCATATGCTATTAATGATTCCCAGAACTTGGGTGTCAGAGGCTAAGTGGATTTTGTGAGTTCAAGGCCAGCCAGAGTTACACAGTGAGACCTTGTCTCAAAACAAAAGCGGGGGGGGGGGGGGGGGGGGGGGGGGGGGCAATAAACTAGCTGGTGGTTGCCCTTAGATGGAAGAAGGCTAGTCTGAGATAATCTGTTAAGAAAAAAACAAAAACAAAAACAAAAAAAACCTTCATACAACTTGGCTGGTGCAAAGGGCCAATTGTAGGGTTTTCCTGAGAAAACGTGTCCATCTGCTTCAACAGAGGCTGTCCAGTTATGAATTAGCGACCCTTCAGATTTATCCCCTATAAAATCTCAAAATCAGCTCACAGATGTCCAAAGTGTTGGTGCTTCTGGCCTCGGGGCCTCATCTACCCAAAAGCAAACATCCTTCTCCAACCACTTTCTACAGATAATAAAGATCATAACGCTTCCGCAGCCCACCTCAGAGGCATGAAAACAAAGAGGTGGGGAGGGAGGCCTTCCTAAGCCTCAGGCTTACAAGTAGGTTTCAAGACCATGGCAGTGGGGCGCGTGAGAGCTGCCAAAGGGTTCAAGAGCAGAACTGCACCTCCACCGCCAAGCACCCAGGGGCTTCCGGGACATCCTTTTCGCATCTGCCTGCAGTGTACCGGCTGGACGCCCCAAGCTAGGGCAGATGCTTGGGTTATGAACAATGTTAAGTATGGTAAAGTCAACCCAGAGGGTCAAGAGTGTGCCGGCCACGCCCACCAGGCCCCGCCCCGGCCGCGAGCACGCGCCCGCCTCCGCGATGAATGGAGGCGCGCACTCGGGGGGGGGGGGGGCGGGGAAACATAGGCCGGCTCCGGGCTCGAGCCCGCAAGCCGGTGCCCCGGAAGCCGAGAATGCGCCGCGGGCTACCTCGGAGCCGATCATGTAGAACTCGCCGTCGTCCTCCAGCTGGAACTTGACAGGCTTCTGCCCGAAGGTCTTGCTCAACGCCATCATCATCATGGCGGCGGGGGAATCCGGCAGCCGGGGTCGAGCTGGAAAGAATCCGGTGGGCTGGGGCGGGGCCGAGGTGCGTTGGACCGAAGGGAACGGAGGCCGGGAGGTGAAGCGCGGGCCGGGCGAGCCGGGCGGGCGCTCGTGCCACTACTGGGTTCCTTAGCGGCCGCGGCGACGACGAGCAGGCCGCCCTCCGTGCGCATGCGCGGGGGGCTGACGCTAACGTGCGCGCCGCCGCCTGCGCAACCCAAGGCCGACCGCGTTCCCGCGGGCCCTTAAAGGAACCCGAGCGCTTTTCGCTCCCGGGGCTGCCTCCCAAGCCTGGTATGGAGGAAAACTTCTCAGCGACATAAATAGCCACGGAGGCCCTGCCTCGGGCGGTAGCTTTCCTGGTCGCACAGCCAGGGCTGGCGCTCCGCCCAGGGGTGAAGAAAAGAGACGAAAAGCGGAGAGAAGGACCGCTCCATCTAGAAGCCTGAGAGAGTCTGGGTGGGATGGCGACCCCAGGCTAGGACCTCAGGTTCTCCACCCGAAAGTTCTCTAGGAATAGCTATCTCCGCTGCAGGCCCACAGCTGTTCCCGAGGCAGTAGGGAAGAATGACAGTACTGGATGGAGGTTGGTGCTATTCAAAGATTCAGGTGGTGTGCCAAGTGAACGGGAAGGGCCGCTTGCATTCTTCCCTTAGCTCTGCAAGCTTGGTGCCCACAAGCCCAGCCCTGCTCGGTGCGTGCCTCTGTCCCTTGGGCCTTAACAGTCCTGCGGGAAGACAGTGCCGCTGGAAGATATCCATGCAGTCCACCATCTGTTGAACAGAGCAGTGACTCAAATGTTTGAGCAATGTTTATTGTAGCACATTCCAAGAGCTAAGTTATAGCCCAGCCTAGGTAGCTGTTCAGCAATAGAAGAATGGAAAAGAAAATGTGGTATAGGCCAGGCGTGGTGGTACAGGCCTTTTAGTCTCAGCACTTGGAAGGCAGAGGCAGGTGGATTTCTGTGAGTTAGAGGCAAGCCTGGTCTACATAGTGAGCTCCAGGACAGCCCGGACTATGTAGAGAAACAGTGTCTCAGAAAACAAAACAAAATAAACCAACAAAAACAGAAAGTGAAATGTGGTGTGGACACGATGGAATTTTTTTTTTTTCAGCCACAGAAACGAAATTATATTGCTTGCAGGAACATGGATGCAACTGGAGATAATCATATTAAACAAATTAAGCCAATCTCAGAAAGACAAGTATGTTTTCCCTCGTTTGTGGTTTCTGGATTTTATATAGATACGTAAAGTATGTATGTCACTATGAAGGAGATGCTAAAGAGCTAGGAAGGGCCGCGGCAACCATGAGTTTTGTCCACTGTTCCATAGCCATGGGAACCAGAGTTTTTAAGTTAAGGGCCAGGCCTGGTGGCTCCCACCTTTAATCCTAACACTCCAGAATTCCAGAGTCATAGGCAGATCTCCGAGCTCTAGGACAGCCAGGGATGTATGAGATCATGCCCCAGTCGCCCCAAAAAAGGTGGGGGTAGTTAGGCATGATCATATAAATTGGCCGCTGCTTTGGAGGATGACTTAAGGGGCAAATGCGAACACAGGCGGCCAGCTAAAAAGCCACTGCAGGTGCCCCTCTCTACTTGTGCAGGAGTGGAGTAGCAGAAACCCTCAACATTGGGCCTCGACCCAGGAAACAGTTCTGGGTGAAGAAGGCTTTGACTTTAGCTCCCAAATCCTGACTGCAATTGCAAAGAGAAACCAGACAGACGCTTAGAAAACACTCACGTTTAATGACAGTCTCGGCTTTTTAAAAAAGGCTTTATACACTGTATACACATTCACATGGCTTTGGAAGGTACCTGTGCTAGGGAAAGCCCCACCCCCCACCCCAAGAAGAAATGGCCCAGGGCAAGGCTGTGAGGTATGTGGGGCCTCTGAGGTTCAGTGTCTCCAGGAGGAAGCAACTGCCTCCCTGGCTGGCTGGCTGGCTGTGTACCTTTTGGCCAGGAAACACATCTCTGACTCACCTACCAGAAGATAATCAGTCCATCATCTCCCCAGACCTGACTTATTAGACCTGAGGCCCAGTTGCTTGGCTGGGGCAGAATGGTACCCTGGGTATCTCATCACTAACACCACTACCCACAGGAACCTCATTACAAGAATCGAATGAAGACACTGTGGTTCCTGAATTCATGTGGGGGTTCTGCTTTGAGGGGCAGAGATAGAGGCCTTGGGCAGCCAGGTAGACTGTAATCTACGTAAGTGGGATACTGTTGGCCCAAGACCTCCCTTATTTTTAAGTAATGCCAAAGCCTTTGCCCAGTCTGAGACAGTTGCTGACAGGTGACCACGACCAGCATGGCCCTCCCTGCAAATGGTGCCATACCCCAACTCACTCCCCTGAGGAGACATAGGCTCTATCTGTCCCATGCCTGAAGCCACAAAGATGGCTGTGGGTCTCTTTAATAAGTGGCCTGGCAGGGGTCAATACCCCTGAATGCTTCCAAGGTGTTGTCAGCTGAAAGTATTAGCAGGCTCTGCACAGTCGAAGAAGTCAGGACCTGTAAGGCGAGGGAAGCCCTCCAGAACCTTCACCTTCACGGGGTCAAACTTCCAGTAGAGATGGCCACGCAGGAAGTAGGCATAGCCTGAAGAGAGAAGGAAGTCAGGTTGGGTAAGCGGACACTGGCCTCTGCACCTGCCTGTCAGGCTGGGTCTAAGGACAGACACTGCTGAGTGAGCAGGCCATGGCCACTACTGAATTCTTCGGAATCTGCACAGCTGGATACAGTGGCTTTCATGTCTGTACTTCCTGCACTCAGGAGGTACAGGCAGGAGGATAGAGTTCAAGGGCATCCTTGGCTACATAGCAAGTTTGAAGCCAGCCTGGGCTACATTTATTTACTTCTTTTACCTTCAAAATAAGGAAATAAATAAATCTGCAGATTCCAGAGCTGGCTTACCAGAACCTCCTTTCCCTTCAGGGAGCCCTTCTACCTGGCCCCAGGGTCTGGTTCAGTAGGTACTGGGAACCTCAGCTTGTCTGACCTTTCAGGAAAGCAAGTACTGCCACTGTTACCAAGCTCCCCGTTACTTCCACACCTACCCACAGACTACAGAAGGCAATACCAGAGGTATAGAGCTTGAAGCTACTCAAAGTAGTTCTCACAGTGAGTCCCAGTGTGGGGTGGGCACAGCCTTAAAGGAGAGGAGCAAGCAACCACTGGGCTTGACTCTACTTCTCTGCACTTAGGGAGAAGCCCTGCGGTCCAGTGGTTACAAGCAGTGGCTGATGGGAGTTCTGGCTCTCCCATTGTTCATCTGGTATGGTTAGTAACCTCGCTGCCCGTTCCTCTGTTTGCCCCTCTGGAACTATGCTAGTAAGAACTGTTATGGTCAGACATGGTGGGGCACTGTCTATATACCAGCATTTGGAGGTAGCGGCAGGCAGACTTCTGTGAGTTCAAGCCCAGCCTGGTCTATAAGGCAAGTCCCAGGTTAGCCCAGGATACATAGTAAGACCCTGCCTCAAACCAACCAACCAGCAGCTGTTGTGATGTCAGAAGGCTGTTCTCAGAGTTGTCTGAGACATGGAAGGACTTGGTGCTGTGCCTGAAGCATTGTCTGCCCTTGGTAAGCACTGGCTCTGGCCAAGGGACCTGGGCAAGTCCTTGTACCTCTCTGGCCTTCAATCTCATTTGTAACATGGGGCATAACACTGGTTGGCCACCAGGAGGGGAGATGACACTAGACAAAGGACCTGTGAGGATGAGCCGGGCCTCATGAAGTCAGGTGTGTGTGTGTGTGGTCAGGGACGACACATGATGTCAACACACAGGATGACAGCCACTGTTGTGTAGAAGTGTGAGGGCTACTATACTCGCTCCCCGCCCTCCCCCACCTCCCCCGCAGCTCACCCTCAGCGTCCTGGAAGGCAGCATCGATCTCAGAAGGTACCCCTCGCCAGTCAGTGGCCCGTCGGGGCACAGGATTGTCCACACGTTGGGTTCTGGGGTGGAAACGCCAATAGTCTCCACCTCGGAAGAAGTAGATCTTGTTCTTCTCAGGACCCCAGACCAAGGCAGCATGGACCGGGGACCCCTGCAGGCCCAGCTCGGAAAGTGGTGCAGGGCCTAGGACTGGTTTCTCACCGTCATATACCCAGTACTGAGCACCTGCCAGAGAGGAGATGCTGCCAGGAGCTGCCAAGCCACCACTGCCATGCCCAGCCACTGTGGATCTGCTTGGCCACCATCAGGGACTCTCCCAGCCTGTTTCTTTCGCTTGCAAAACACTGCTGGCCAATAGTGCAACCTTCTCAGCAACCCTCCCCCACGAGGGATGTTAGAACCAGCTGGGATGAGTTGGGCTGAGAAGAAAGATAAGCTTGGGTTCAATAAGCCCAAGTTAAGGTTATTCTCGTCAACAGAGGGCTGCCCATTGCAGATGTGTGCTGACCACCCTGGGACCCAGCCCACCTGTAACAGGCCCCTTGGCTACCCTGGAATGCACATACAGGGTTCCCATGCCTCACCTGTGTTTATGAAGTCCTGCCACCTGGAATATTATAGGTTGTCATCTCTGCCAGATGAGAGTTGAAATCACAGGCTCCAGGGTCACTATGCCCAGATCAGTTTCCTGCTCTGCTTTTTCCAAGCTTTAGACCTTATGTGAGTCATTCTGCCCGAGTCTAAGTCCTCATCTCTGAAGCCCCACCCCACATGGTGGCTTTGGGGGTTGAATATATCAGCCTGCAGCTGCAGAGTGCAAGACCTTCAGTGCTATTTGGATCTTAAAAGCTGCCACCTCTGGGAGACTCATCTGTAAGCCCCACTCTCCCTTGGCTCTAAGTCCTCAGGGCACTGTCTCCCTGCCCACTGTGTCCCCGACTCCTCTGTCTCTACTCCTGGCCGACTTCCAATCCCCACTCACCTTGGAAGAACCAAATATGCCCCTGGGCATCCTCAAAAGCTGCATCCACGGGGCTTGGCAATCCTTGCCAGTGCCGAGAGGCCAGAGCGGGATACCCAGGCTGCAGCTGCCCACTGCGCAGCCTCCACACAAAGCCTGCCTTGAAGAAGAAGAGCTCGCCCCGGATGGTGGAAACTGCATCAAAGGAAGTCTCACAGACATCCGGCGGGGTTTCCGGCTGGGGTGGGATAGAGGAGGCAGAAAAGAGCACATACTGGAGCCATGTAAGGCCCGCAGGGGTGCACAGGGAACAGGGACAGAGTCTTACCTCCAGCAGTGCGATCTCGTTGGTATCGATCCCAGCCTGGGAGCCCAAGGCTGGGGCGTGGGAGGTGGGGGCCAGCCGGGGCCGGCCGTAGAGGTGCTGAATGCCCCTTCGGTCATCTGGGCTGAGGCTCAGTGGGTATCGGAAGGTGTAGAAAGGGGACATAAGGGCCTTAGCCGCTGTGGTGTGTTGCAGCCCCAGAACATGGCCAAATTCATGAGCTGCCACTTGTAGCAGGTCTGTGCCTGGAAAAGGGGGTGGTGAGTTAGTGACCTCCACCTCCTGCACTGGCCAGTCGCCAGATTCATCTCTAGATCCCGGCTTAAGTGCTTCCTAGCTGCGTCATCTGGAAGATGGGTCTCTAGCACATACCCTGGTTGTCCCCGATAGTCCAAGTTTCATCATAGTCAAAGTGTACATCTCCTTCTCGGTGGGTCTTAGGGAAGAAAGCATGGGCCAGGATGCCCCCAGGCCCATCAAATGGCAAGTTGTCCCCATGCCAGTACCTGGGGGTGGGGGGAGGGGAAGAACACAGTTAGAGGTTGCTGACAGTGGGGTGTGTTCCCAGAAAGGTCCCAGGCCACAGGTTTCACCTGGTGAAGTCAATCATGATGTCGGCGCGTCCCTCATGCACCTCGGTGAAAGTGAGTGGTGTCACCTCACTCCATACCTGGAGGGCCTCTGCCACCGTCTGCCGTACCTGCTCCCTTACAAGCTGCCATGGGAACCGGAGGATCCTGGGGGGAGGCGGAGGGGCCTGGGCATGGGGCAAGGAAGCCCCTGAGGACTGAGGAGTCAAGCTTCCCCTAGAGCTGAGTGTGGTGACTCATGCCTTTTCTGCCCAGCACTGGAGAAGCTGAGGCAG